ACAAGAGAAAAACGAGAGAAGATTCATTTGAAGATATGTTTCTATTGATCTTCTTTTTCATTGTGGCTTCACTGCAACAGATTGAGATTCAAAAATCCGTTGAATCAACGACTAATTTTCTGGTTGGCTATGACAATGTAACTCCTCAACAGCCAAATCCACAACCGTCATTCAGTTCACATTGTCACACTAGTGGGTTCTTTGGATTTGAAATATTAAGCAACTCTAGACTTAGGTTAGATCCTGGTAAGCCATTCTAACCGAATCTCTGAAACTTTTAGTCACTTAAACCGCTTGAATTTAACTCAGATTTTGTAAAATCTCTACAAAAGCCAAATCCGATAGCTTTCAATTGGCCTTGACCTTGAAAAATTAGATTTGAATAGCAGTCATTCGACTTGATAGCTTTTCAGGAAGCTTTTCAGGAAGAGCAAACAAAAGCATTTAGCTGTGAGCGAACCTAAAGAAAATGCGGAAGACTCAGCGGCTACTTTGTTACCACGGGGTTTTATTTTTAATACATGAATCGTTTTTGTAGTTTTAGATGTGGGAGCAGCCGCTTACGCAAATGCTTCTTCCGCATCCACAAAAGATGAATTTGCGACGGAAAGGAAATATTTGGACTACATCAACAACTCGATGAGTACCATTCTGAGAGTGGTAGAAGTTCACTGAAAAAACACAGCCAATTTGAAAAAATTCAGAAAACCATTGTGAAACTGCGTGACAGGCATTTGGCACGTCTAATTGTTCACGCTTTCTACAGGTTTAACCTTTTTCTTTTGGGTTTTTTATAGTTGGCCGTGCAAAACCGGCAAAATCTAAAAACTTTTAAGGAGACAACTTTAACGGCTTTCTATATATTTTCAGTCTTAATTGAAAGTATAATCAACAAATCCACATGTTAATGATCCAATTTCCAATTTTTGGGACTTTCCATAATATTTTTCAAGGGTTTACCCGAAAATTTTATATTTTACACATAAATACAATCTACAATTGGATATACAGGGTGTCCCAAAATTATGGTTACGCGCACTCTATTTGCCTTTTTTTTTCATTTTACTGGTTTTTTTTTTCTTACTTTTTGGTTTCATTGTACTAATTTATCTATTTTCAGGTATGAAATCGAAGAAGGACCTTCGACCAGCTATAATTTCGCGAATCTTGCAGGAGGGGAAAATGAATGTGTCCCGCGCAGTGAAGCGATACAAGGAAACGGGATCAAATGAAGATCGCTCGGGACGCTGTCGAAAGAAGACTGCCAATGTTTCTGCAAAACGACGAAAAGTTTTTAAACGGCTCAAAAGAAGTCCGAATTCGTCCAAGAACTCCGTTCGAAAACTCGCGCAATCTGTCGGAATCGGCAAGAGTTCTGTTCATCGTATGCTCAAAACAGCCGGCATGAAAGCCAGAAAAGGTGTCAAAGGCCATTTATTGACGGACGTTATGAAAGCAAAACGTGCAAGATTTTCCCGGTGCAAGCAGCTTCTAAGACGCTTTGGCTCAAATCGCCATCAAGGAATTCTCTTCACAGACGAGAAGTGTTTTGATATTGAGCAAGCCCATAACCATCAAAACGATCGTGTTTGGTCAAAGGATCCACTACCTCTTGATGATAGAATTGTGTCAAGACAACAAAAGCCGCAACAAGTTATGATATGGGTCGGAGTAACTCACAGCGGAAAAACTCCTTTGATCTTCATTCCACCAGGAGGCAAAATCGATAAAGCCGCTTATATCAATATGCTCAAAAATAATGTTTTGCCCTGGACTCAAGCTCATTTTGGCGCCAATAGCTGGACTTATCAACAGGATGGAGCTCCATCTCACAAAGCAGCTGTTACACAAGAATGGATCTCAAACAACTTTCCTGACTGGATCACAGTGGATATCAGCCAACAACGTCCGGGCGAATGGCCTTCAAACACCCCTGACCTAAACCCCTTAGACTATTCTATCTGGTCCATTCTTGAAAGCAAAGCATGTGCAAAAGCTCACACAACAATTGACTCATTGAAAAAGGATTTGATCAAAGCTTGGAACGAGATTCCTGTGTCTACCATTGAAAAGGCCATTAATGACTTTCCAAAACGATTAAGGAAATGCATAGCTGCTAAAGGAGGCCATTTTGAGATTTAAATGTTGTTTTTATTATTAATTAAATTGTTTAGAATAAATTTTTCCTTATTAGCTGATTTTTGCTATGTAAATAAAGCCGAAAACTTTTACGTTATTTCGTAACCATAATTTTGGGACACCCTGTAGTCTTTTTGGGGCTTAAACGATGAATAGCTACAGAGTGAAAACAGGTTGTTCTTTACGTCAAAAATATACGAGTAGTTATTTGCTTTGTATTGCGAACATTTTCAACTCCAACCAACAAATCTTTATTGATCAATTGCATAGTAATAGAATTACTGTAGACAAATCCCTTGTCCTTTCAGAGTTGACACGTGTAAAGAATTGTGGAGCAGATGCGAGTCGCCTCTCATGGCCGCGTTGCTTGTCGAGTCTATTTCCAAAAAACTCATCGAAAAATTCGAAAAACGGTATTCGAATGGCAACGCTTTTCAAGGCACAAAAAAGATTCCTAACTGAAATTTCTAATCCAGCACAAAAATTTCAGCAACTTTTCCCATTTGGCTAAGGAGCTACTCGACAAGTGCCATGTCCAGGATCACGAGCAAGCTCGAGTGTTGCTTAATGAGCAGTATTTGGTTAAGCAAACAAAAAAAGAAAGATGCAGTAAAAGCCGCGCCATACAAGAACACTATCACCGCCGTGCTTCAAAGTCGGAATTACGTATCCTTTACTGAGTCTTTTGTTGTTAGGACGACAAACATATCGAATGCCACCAAATCCAAACAATTCGAACTTACTTTCGTTGGAAAAGAGGCAAAGAGGCCCATGTTGAGCCATTCAATATCGATGCTCTTCTGCGAATTTGACCCGAAGCTTGCGATTCTTTGAAGAGATCAAATTCTTATTTCAGTTCGTTTTGTTGGTATTTTGGAAACAACTGTTTGGCCTTCTTTTGGTTATTTTAAATCCAATAAGCCTTTACCTTTATCATTACAGATGAGAGATTTTGGATACAATCGTTTTAAAAATTTTGTCATTTTGATTTTGTTGAATTTATTGTTTTCATTGGCTATGTGGCATCTTCTTAACTATTTTCGCACTATGCCAATGTCAATTGCTTTAATCGAAATGAGTGAATTTGTCACACACCCAAGCATTATCATTCGTTTTTTAAGCTCCCGTCGCCTGATAAATGGAATTGTAGACATTTCAGTCGGTCATCAAATCTGTCGTTTCCATCTTGGTCACTGTTTGGGCATTTGACGTTAGTTTTCCGATTCGATAGCTATAAAGGTTTTCTTTAAAAGATTATCAGTGTTTAAATTGAATCATTCATGATTCTCACGGTCACGATTTGCACAACAGTTAGCTTTTCCTATTTGTACTTGGTGATCGCGAAATTCCAGTTGTTCTTGTCGACGAGCGGAAGATTGACGGTCGTGGATGTGTTACAATAATTACTAGGTTGGCAAACAAGTCTATTCGTCCTTTTTCATACTTCCGTTTAAAAATCAAAAATTTACCCATTTACCTAAGGCTTTTTTACTAATTACTAATTACTATTTATTACATAAATTTATTTACAACTTCAACAAAGTATCAAAAGAGCACAAAAAAAGCAAAAACGCTTATTATCATTTAAAAAATTGACCTTAATCAAGATATTTTTCTATTTCAAAACAAAAACTCAATCAAAAAGATTAACTTCAAAAGGATCAATATAGGAGGGATCATCAATGTCTTTATTTTCATTAATTGGTTTAATTGGAACTCGTTGAATACCTCCGCTTGAGCTCATAAATGTTCGATGACCAAAAGGATAAAAGACTTCATTTCTCCTCTCCTCATCATAAAATCGTCCATAATATCCATCTCTAATAAAATCCTCAATTCTATATAATGGCCACCAAACAAAATAGTCAGCCACATCATGAAAAGGCAATATTTCGTCAACAACTCGATTCCTCGATCGGTCCAAGACTTTCACCGATTTTCCATCATTTTTCGGTATCTCCAATATTCTGGGTCTACTTGGTCTAGAATATCCTCGTTTGATCATAAAATGAAAGAAATCCAATTCAGAAGATGGTAAAAGTTGATAATCTTTTCCTCCAAGAAACCTTTTTGAACAGTTCTCATGGAAATAACAATATTCTCTTAATTGTGAATGAGAAATTTCCGAATAAATAATCCACGGCCAATTGAGGGGAGAGATATTCAATTGAAAGATATAGCTTATAAATAAATGATAATTTTCGTATCTATTAAAAGCAGGGAATAGTCTGGGAATTTCTTTTATTAGACTGATTCCAAAGTTCTCTTTCAATTTTTCCGTATCAAAGTTTGAAAAAAGATAATAATTAAAACCGAAACCGATTTTCCGATAATGAACCTCATTTTGAGCGAATTTTGGCTTAAATTCATCGAAATTCTGCGAAAAATCTCCGATTAAAGTTCGTTTTTGGGATAAATCGATAGAAATGCAAAGCTTTTCGTTTTTCGATAAAAGAATATATGATTCTTTTGAATTGAATTCTTTCCAATAAACCCCAAGTTTTAAATGAATTTCTTCCGGATTTGGTAGATCGAGACAAGGATTTAAAAATTTTCTACAAAATGACGCTCCAAAAGATTTCAATAGTTTCCAATTTTTCTCATTTTCCCCAGAAATCGTATCTTTTATGTCAGAAAATGGTAAATTTTCATCCCAATCGAAAAATTCGCTCATTTTTTGATGCAAATAGTTGGCAAGCCGTTGGATTTTGATTTCTTTCCGAAAAAGAAACAAAGAAATCATTCGAATATCCTTTTCTTCGACATTTTCCCACATTTCGAAAAATTCGTCATTCATTTCCGTATAGGATTTCAGAATCGGTTTCTCATCGATTAGAAAAATATAATCATTGAAAAAACTATTCGACTTCTCCATCAAAATATAGTATAACATGTCGTTTTTGAGGATTTCTCGAAACTTTTGGATTGTCCTTGATTTGGGGAACATAGCAACAAGATATGAAAAGAAACGGTTTTCGCCTTCTAACTCTTTTTCAGTGTTTTCCACGATTTTTTTTGATTGATTGAATATTTGCTTGATTTTGTCAATTTTTGAGACTTTGACGGTTTCTGATTGTATTTCAACTTCATTTTCGGTTCCATCAAATCCAATGGGTCGAATCAAACAACGTTCATCTTCCCGGATCTTCATTTTGAGAGCCTGAACGTTGTGGGTGCTTTGCTGTTAGGGCCCCTCAAAATTTGCATACTTACATTAGCATATACAGGGTGCGCCAGAAGTTCCCGTACTTGTATTTTCTGCATTTTTGATAATTTTAGATAAAAGATACGATCTTAAAAGTAAGAAATTCGAATTTCTCGTGAAAAACTGATTTCGAAAACGTTTCTGGTTAATTTATAAGTGCAACGCTATTTAAGACAATTGATTGAGAAGAGGGTCCGCTAAGGGGCGCTTTGGTCGCACAGTTACAGTTATTTCCTTTGATGGAAATTTGTATGGGAAAACCAAGTTCTAACTCGGTCGTTGACCAAAACCTTATACACCCAATATAAAAAATGGCACATTTTATGTCTAGTTTTCGAAAAACATCTTGGCTCTTGAAAATCTTTTGATCCATAAAAGTTACAGGCCTGAAGCCCCAAAAAAATGTGCGACCAAAGCGCCCCTGAGCGGACCCTCTTCTCCATCAATTGTCTTAAATAGTGTTGCACTTATAAATTAACCAGAAACGTTTTCTAAAGCAGTTTTTTACGAGGAATTCGAATTTCTTACTTTTAAAATCGTATCTTTTATCTAACATCACCAAAAATACAGAAAATACAAGTACGCGCAAGTGGCGCACCCTGTACACATCATATCTCACTCCTCTCCTTAATATATCATTTCTAAAAATTCGTTCTCCATATTTGGTTGGAAATATTCATGTTCTCGCTACCAACAACCAAAATTTTGCGAATTTTGAGGGGCGCTAACCGCATTGACACAGGGACGCTAACCGCATTGACGCAATTTCTGAGGAGCGCTAACAGCATAGTACCACTTTTTCTGATCGACCAGGGCTTGGAAGAAAGCGAACGGTAACAACTGCAGCAAATGTTAAAAAAAGTGAGGAATCGCGTGTCGAAAACGCCAAACCAAAGGCGTGCTAACGGCAGGGGGGTGTTTCTGCGGGGCGCTAACAGCACAGTAGCACTTTTTGGATTGATTAATAAACCATGGCTTTTTGAGCAATTACGGTATCTACTTATTTTATTAGATCTCACAAATTAATAGCGCACACCTGAGGCTCTTTTTTGTTACTTGCATGTTGAGATATTTTTGAGTACGGTAAATCGAAAGCATCTGATGAACCAGGCCGATCATCAAGATTTAATCGAGTGCATCTGAAAATTGAGGGCTAAAGTCATACTTTTACCGGATCTTGTTATAAATCACTTATTTAGTAATAAGTAGAATATAGTTAAGATTGTAAATAACAAATTTCCTATCATTAGAACTCACAATTCAACAATCACCGCCAATCGGCTTTCACATTTCGGCCATGGGAGCAGGAATTTTCCCGTCTTTAGATCCTGATGAAGTTGATCGACTTGAAACTTTCCATCTCTATCATATTCCTCGAAAACTCTCCTAAAATCTTTAAATAAGATTTTTTTTGAAAACTCAAACCTTCTTTCGATAATCTCCCAAATAATTAACCCAATCGAGTAAACTTGGTTTTTAAATGACTAAAAAATTTGTTAAAATTTTTCAAAACTTATTTTTCAAACCTCATCCCATTCAGCTCTTCCATATTTCTCAACTCCTTCATATCGCTGTCCACCGATTAAATTGGGAATTGTTGGGAAATAGGCTAATTTCAAAGAAAAATCCCCTGTCATAATCACACTAAATGTAACAAATGACTTTCGTAGATCTTCTTTAGTAGAAAATTCACTCACTTTTCAGGGCAAATATCTTGCTGGAGGATATTCCTACAGTTTAAATAACCAAGTGCACTAAAGAGTTGTTTACTCCAATCGAGAACGAGATTCATTGTATAGATGTATTTTGGAGAGGAATACACTGAAAATGTTGTTGATTTGATTGTAAACTGTGTTGCCCTTTATCAAAGAAAACTACAGTAAATACTGTAATAGTACCCCACCCCCCTCGTACAGTCGCGTAGTCGCAAAAGTTTTTTAGTATTTCATTTTTTTCAAAGCACCCGTACTTTCAAAAAATGCCTCTTTGGTATCAAAAAATAGCTGAAATTCAGGGCTATTTTTTGATACCTAAGCGCGCATTGTAGCATAAACCAGTCTCGAGAAAAACTCGTTCAAAGCTAGACTACGCAACACTCCGCACCATCATTATGGGGGTGGGGTACTATTACAGTATTTACGGTAGCTATCTAGAAAATGCTTCTAAATTAAGGTGAAGTTTGCAAATGAAACATATAAAATGAAATCATGAAAGCAGTTTTTAATGCTGTTTCCAAATCTGCCATCAAATTTAACTGAATTGGTCTCTGTCGCGAGTTATTTGGCATAGAAGTTTTTGCTTTTTTGATTTATGTTTTGCAAATTGAGTTCTATCTTCCGATTTATATTGCTAACGGAAAGGTTGCTAAGGTTTTATACTTATAACTAGACTTACAAGAGAGACGTCTCGATATCGATAAGTATCGATAAAAGCTACGGCCTCGCCACGTTGAAACACAGTATCCTGTCAGATCTGCCAAGTTAAGCAACGTCAGGCTCGGTTAGTTTCTGGTTCGAATCCATGGGATGAACTAGGAGTCTCTTCCCTAATCAGAGTGTGCAGGCTCCGCCCCCGTCCGGCTTTGATTAGATGGGTAGACTAGTAAAGGTCTTATTTGGTTGATGCATAAGTCTTTTCGCTCCTTTTCGTAGTTCCGTTTAAAACCAACAAATGCATCAATTGAACTACGGTTTGTTTCACTAGAAAGGCCAATTGTTTTTCTGCAAAATAACATTAAAACCGATTTTAAAATGTCTGATGTCTGGATGTTTTTTGAGAGAGTGAAGCCGGGTAGTCAAAAAGGGCGACGACTCGATGATGCGGTTTAGAAACTTTAGCTAAAGGAAATCTATCTTTGTGTCAATAGATAAAATATAGGGCACAAAAAGTTAGGTAGATAGCCAAATTTTCAGAGAAATTGATTGTATATTTGTATAGTTATGGTGTTTTCCAAACCGTCCATTAAGAGTAGGGTTATCCAAGGAAGGCGTGTATTAAGTTACGATATAGCCTAGTATTGTGTGTGTTGTGAATTGTGATTGGTGTATTTCATGTATGCAATAAGCTCACTACTGGAAACCCCAGTTGGTATATATTCTCAATAATATCGATATCGATAAGAGCTTATCGATAAACATTCACAATTCAGACAACTCATCCACTAAATAGACTATTTATCCATGATTTATCATGGAAACTTGTCTATATCGGAGAAAATATCGATAGGCAAAGCTACTTATAACTAATACTTTTGAAAAAAGAATATAACCAACCATCTCTCAACGATCCCCATTCCCAACTCTCCATCAAAAACTCAAATCGATCTCCATTGTCATTGATCTCAAAATATTTTGCTATATTTGAAAAGTTGTTTGTTCTGAGGAGAGATTTCTTTTCTCTTTCGAACGTTTCCAAATCATTCCATTTTGGGCACTCATTCTTGGAGAAGAATTTTTGGATTTTCGGGCTAAAATTTGATAACTTTATGGAATATTTACTCAGTCTTCTAAACAAAACTTTTACAGTCATCAGTCAAATCAGTGATCAAATTACTTTTTAGAATCAAATTGATTTTGAAATTAAAAAAAAATATTGAGTTTAAAGAAAGTTATGACGCAACTTTTATGTTTTTCCTTGAAATACAAGTGGACCCTTTTATACCCCTTTATTTTCTATTAGGTTGAGGAAAAAGTAATGTCGGTTTTGAATTCCCGTTGTTGGCAATTTTCTAGTTCTTTGCTTATGCGATTTTTTTTTTCAAATTGATATCAGCTAAGCACTTCTATACTTTCATATTATATTTGATTTTTACAAATTTAAGAATATTTTCAGGTACAAAATGCAAGAAGAAAAGTTTCGACTTCGAGCCGCTTTGTGGTATGATTTTAAATAAGGGAAATCGACGAGCTTGGTTGGAAACTTCTGCCCCACGCACCTTATAGTCCGACCCTATCAGATTATTTTTTGTTTCGGTCGTTGAAGAGTTTTCTTATGAGAGAAAAGTTCGAGAATCATGCACAGATCAAAAAAAGCAGTTGACACTTATTTTGGCACCAAAACTCCCCATTTTTTTTTGAGGATGGGATCAGGGACTTGCGACAAAGATGGGGACAAGTCATCAATAATAATTGAGAATATCTCATTGATTGATTTGTTTGTTTGTTTATGTTTTTAGCAATAAACAGTTTTGTGACAAAAACCGACATTACTTTTTCCTAAATCTAATAGGTCTCACCGATGATCTCAAGTAGTCAAGTGCGCGAGGAAGACTTCGTTTCTTTGCCATCGAGGCTTCAATTCCTCTTACTAACAAAACCTTTTTTGTTTTTTTTGCTTACTTTGTTTAAATTTTTAACGAAGTAGAGCTTATTTTTTAGTTTTTAAAACCTATAATAATTTCTAATCTATTTTTACTTCAAAATATTCCATTTCTTTCAAAAACTTACAGATATTTCGGATTAAATTTCCCTCCAGCTGGATTACTTTTAGACGACATTTAATTGAGTGACAAAATAACAGAATAAAAGTCTCTCGAAAAAAAAGTTTTCAAAGAAAAATTTTCCGTTTCCATCTTTTAATTGGTCCTTTATTGTTGCACAATCAGCTGAAATAACCGTCAAATAAGGTTTGAAATCATTGCCTCAAAAAGCACAACAAAAAAGTGAAATTTCGTTTTATTTCGTAGCTTTTGAATAGAGTCGAAACTCTATTTAACGGAATCGATTTTGTATATGTTTCTTTATATAGCGGAAACTCTATATAGAGTAACCAATAAACGTTATGATAAAATATTCATCGTTTTTATTCACCGAAATCTTTGGGATTTTGGTTACAGAGCTTTTAGTGAGTTAAAAAAACTTTTGTCACCTGTTGTTAAAATGTTGACAGATTAATAATATCAACACAAAATTAGAACGGTATTTATCATATACGGTATTTTCTCTAATAGTAGTGCACCCTGAGCCTAAATGGCTCGAAATCTTGGAAGCCGCTTACCAGAACCTAGCGATGTGCGGTCGGAAAATGTAGCTGACGATGAGATCTTGTGGTGGATTAGAGTGTTGAACTTCTGCGAAAACTTCGAAACCGTAAAATAGTCATCAACTCGGCGCGACGAGGTGCACTACTATTACACGCCCCTGAATAAAGCTTACCGTATTCTCTGGGGAGCTAAGCGCTAGCACCAAACTTTTGCAATAAGGTTGATAGATATTAAGCTTACTCTGTTCAATTGAAATACAGAATTGTCCATCCCATTGTGTAAAACAAAATCCAAAGGAGGGCAAAAATTATCGTAAAACTCTAAATTTTTCTTTGTTTTTATATTAAAAGTTTATTTTGGGTTTTTACTTTATGTAAAAATTTATGTTTCTTTCGCGAATCGATCCAGTGCATTTCTTGAAGCTTCTAGAAAATCTTTTATCGTAAATTTTATCTATTTTATCTTTTATTCAATTTCAAAGAAAGTTACATTTATGACCGAATTGTGAACGTTTGGATATTCCATAATTCAAGAAAGTTTTTTCTTTTTCGAAATGTTGTCAATGCTGAATGGTATCCGAAACAATGAACTATTGGATTGATGAATTGAAAACTGCTATTGCCATATGTCACAGTTTAAGCACTTTCTTCAAAATAAACCCATTTTGGTGTCCATGGAAAAGTTGTAGAGCATCAAAAATCAAGCTTATATCCAAATTTTCAGAGCGATTCAAAAACTGGTTTTCAAGAAATGCCAAATTTACGAATTTTCACAAAACTTGCATTTTAAGCGAAACTACAAAGTGTATATTTTTGGAAATTTGGCTATAAGCCTAATTTTTGATTCTCTACAACTTTTCTATTGACACCAAAATGGGTTTCTTTTGAAGAAAGTGCTCAAACTGGTCCTCGATTTTTGAGTCTCTCCAGTCCTCCATTTTTGAGTCTCACATTTGCAGTCTCTCATCAGCTCTCTACGGCCTCCAGAACGGGGCCTTTTCTCATACGCCAACCTTCCGTTCCCTCTAAAAGCCCCCACAGTTTCTTTTTTAATCGAGTTATTAAATTCTGAAACATTTTACCCCCTCATCTTCGTGATATTCCCACCTTGGCTAGATTTAAACCCGCAATTTCTACAATTGATTTGACTGCTCTGTGACCCTTTCTTGAGGTATCTATTTATCTTTTGGGTGTGTTTTGAGTGGTGTCCCGGGTAATTATTGTGATTTTTTCTCGCTATTCAACTGAATAAAGCATGTATATATAAATAAAAACCAATCACAATTCACAACACACAAATACTACCGTAAATACTCAAATAGAAGCCCACCCTCCCCATACAAAATTGGTCGCCCAAAAAGTCACTACTTTTGAAAAAGAGTTTAGCTGAAGAGTGCTTAGAATGTTGTATATGAGCCATATGTATAAGTTTGTTTTATTATAAAATTTATTTTTTTTATAAAAAAAAAAAAAATCATAAAAAAAAAAAAAAAAAAAAAAAAAACAATCTCCCCCCCCCCCCCCCCCCCTCTCCCCCCCCCTCCCTTTTTCCCAAAAATCCCCCCATACCCCCCAAAAAAAACCACTATAAAAAAACTCCTTTAACACCCTTCCCCCCAACATCCTCCCCAATATCTCAAATTCTACAAAAAAATTAAAAAACAAAAAAAAAAAAAAAAAAAAAAAAAAAAAAAAAAAAAAAAAAAAACAAAAAAAAAACCACAATCAATTACCACTCCCTCCACATTCTTCTTTTCCAATTTTATATTTCTAATCCTATAAAACAATATTCCTCACACTTTATCACACCCACCCACAAAATAAAATACCAAAAAAAAAAAAAAAAAATCCCCATTTAACCTACCATCTTTCCTTCCCTTTTCTACCTCCAAAAAAAAACAAAAAAAAAAAAAAAAAAAAAAAAAACCAACCCAAAATCCACCAAAAAAAAATAAACCCACTTCCAATCCAAATTACCTCCCCCGTCCCCCGTCCCCTCCTCTCTTTCTTCCATAAAAAAAAAAAAAAAAAAAAAAAAAAAAAAACAAAAAAAAACAAAAAAAAAAAAAAAAAAAAAAAAAAAAAAAAAAAAAAAAAATAAAAAAAAAAAAAAAAAAAAACAAAAAAAAAAAAACCCAAAATAAAAAAAATAAAATACAAAAAAAAAAAACACCACTCTATAAAAAAAAAAATATAAAAAAAAAAAAAAAAAAAAAAAAAAAAAAAAAAAAAAAAAAAAAAAAAAAAAAACAAACACACAACCCACCCCAAACAAAAAAACCCAAAAAAAAAAAAAAAAAACCCTCCAACCACAAAAAAAAAAAAAAAAAAACCAACAAAAAATAAAAACCCCATAAAAAAAAAAAAAAAAAAAAAAAAAAAAAAAAAAAAAAAAAAAAAAAAACAAAAAAAAAAAAAAAAAAAAAAAATAGAAAAAAAACCAAATTTTATAAAAAAAAAAAAAAAAAAAAAAAAAAAAAAAAAAAAAAAAAAAAAAAAAAAAAAAAAAAAAAAAAAAAAAAAAAAAAAAAAAAAAAAAAAAAAAAAAAAAAAAAAAAAAAAAAAAAAAAAAAAAAAAAAAAAAAAAAAAAAAAAAAAAAAAAAAAACCCCCCAAAAAAAAATTTTAAAAAAAAATTTAAAAACAAAAAAAAAAAAAACCTAGAAGGTTTGGCAGTAAAATTTAAAAGGATTTTAAAAAATTATAAGGGTCCGACTTATCCCCAACTTATCCGAAAATCGAAACGCAACCAAATCCCGTTCCTTTTGTGTGAGCAATCAAACAGAAAAGCCCATTGAAATGGATAGTTTGCGCATGTTGTATGTTTTTAATGTTCACGCTGAAATTGAACAGCATTAAACAGCAAGTTTAACAAATAAATATTTATAAACTTTTTGTAAGCAAAAGTTTTGTAAAAGGTGTTTATTTCTGCGCCAAAAACAGAACTTCTACCAGATCACAGATAAAATTTTACAAATGCATTGCAAAATGTTAGGTGCAAAAATCTTAAATATTTTCAAAATTTCAAGACTTGTAGACACTTGTAGAAAATTGTAGACAAAATTTCAAAACTTGTAGGTTTTTGGTAGCGAACCAATCGTGTTATTTGACCAAAATCTCTGGAAAGCCGATTCCATTTTTACGTGATAATCTTCTGAAGTCATGTGTGATGATGTCGTGTTCAGTTCTTCTAAAAAACGCATTAGAAAACATTTTGTAGGAATCTTAGAAACCACCCGTAGGCAGACGCAATGGGACGATCTTTGGGACACTGTGGAATTTTGTTGTGTTCATTTCTTCTAAAAACGTGCTAGAAATATTTCGATCTTCAAAAACTACCCGTATACAGCCATCCAGGAGTCAAATACTGTCGCATAATACTTAACAGATCAGCAAGTTCGTAAAGACTGACATAAATCAGTTCGACAAATTGATTCATACAAAACATACAACAATCTTGCAGATGGAAATCTTTGCTTATGAGCAACGATTGACCTCCGAGGTTTATCAGAAAGCCGAATCGACTATCAGCAGTCATATGATCACAAACGAAAAAGTTTCTGTTTCGAACCTCTTGCAAATCACACTGCTTCACTAGCATAAAACAGAAACCAAATGATGGATCTTCTTTGTCTTTCATTTCCTCCAATAAACTTTCGATTAAATATAAATTAGTTTCTTTCATGTTTTCAAGATCCTCCCACTCATTTAGCAATCGAAAAGCCTTCTCAAAAAGTGAATGCGTCTCCAGAAATTCTTTTTGATTTAATTTCAAACATGTCGAATATTCGAATTGAACCTCACTGTTTGGAGCATTTTCCGGAAATTTACCAACAGCACAATGAATGGGTTTACAGTCACAAACTGGGCGAATCGCATACTTTGGCTTGGATTCCCAGATGAGACCCGGGAAACGTGTCAAACACTGCGTGTCGCTTTTTTTCGATCTGGGCAAGGAACGCTCAAAGTGAAAACGCATTCATCACCGCATGCCCTTTGTTCGAGTTCATATAAACTCTCCAAGTCAAACTGGGTATTTTCTTCCAATCTGAGGTCTTTTAGTTTCTCATTCCTTTCCTTACACATAACATAACATAAGTTAATATCATGAAGAAGCCCTGTCTCCGAAAATTTCCTCTTTTCACATAAGGCAGAACAATGACAACTTGTTTCTTGGTTTTGTAAGGGCAACCAGTTAAAGAAAAATGCATATCCTGGAAAATGGCTTTCACTTCCAATTGACAACGTCTGAAGCAGCACTTCTAACTCGGTTTTCGGTAACGATCCAGTCCCAGAAAAGGGTAAGCGTTTCATGCCAACCTTTCAGATCTTTGTACAATTTTCCTCTTTTGCAATCGTAAGGCTGAAATTTGCCGATCTCATTTTTCTTCCTACGCAAAACACGACGAATCACTTCGAGATCGATTACTGATGGCGAATTGAAAATGTATTCGTAAAAAGGGTTCACTTTTCGAATTTCTCGAAGATCTTTCGTGAACGCCAATCCATACGATTGACACCATTCAGCTCTCGAATCAGTGAAGACGACCTTGTAATATTGGCGTCGACGGATATAAATATGATCGCACTCCTCAATATTATGAATGGCGACATTCAATAGGTCCAACAATTCCATCCACGAAAAGCCCTTTGCTTGGCATTTCCATAAGGTTTTCATTGCAAATTTGTAGCAAAACTCTTGCAAAGCTATATCAAACTTGAGAAGTTCAACAAAATGATTGACGGTTGATTGAAGGGATTCGTCGCAACGGGAAAAATCATCCCATTCCGATAGATTGTTGTGCATTTCTTTCAGGTGAATCAATAGTGTTGGTTTTTCCGAAGCACATATCTGCTCCACTGAATTCAAAAAGTTCTTTCTCAACTCTTCTCGAGTTGCATTGACATTGGCGACCCTCGTTTTATCCAATAATACTTCCGCATGTTTTGGAAAGATAAGGAAATTCTCCAAATAATTAGACACACTCATGCTTTTCCGGCATGTGCATGATTGACTACACGGCTTTTCATTGTGGGTTTTTCCTATCATATTTTTGAAGTTAGATTCCCTTTGAGTTCTGGAGATCCATTGGTTAAACTGATTTTCGAATGTCGAATCGATCTTTCTGGATTCAGTTGGTTTTGTTTTTTGAGACTCTGTGCCAAATGTTGCGTCAGGTGGGTGCAAAGAGTTATGTGTTGTTGGCATCTCGATGCATAGACCTTCAGGCAAAGTCTTCAAACACTGATTTCGAGATCTTTCTGGTTCGAAAATGAGGGATTTGAAGTTCTAAAGAATTTCTGTACTCAAAGCATTTTATTGAATAACCTCGCCCAGTGATTCCACTTCCAATAAGGCTTGTTCAGTTGTTAGACGAGATTTGATCGAAATTTTAGAAGATGAACATCTGAAATGAAGAAAACGAAAGTGCTTTAGACCTTAACCTTTAGACTGTAAACCTTTAGAAACCTTTCAATTAAATCGAAACACTGTTGAACATCTGGTGAGGTTGTTGATGGGAAATGAAGAGTAATTGGGGAGTTTCCTGATGATGAGTTGGGGAGTCTCCTAAAATTGCGCTAAAAAGCCTAAATCAAGAAAAATTGAAAAATGTTTCTTTTTTCCAGATTTTTTCCCACAGAAGCTTTTTTTACGAAATTTTTACTCTCTAAATGTTGCCTCCCAAAGCACGAGACCAGCAGCAAAAACATCACATTGATAGAGATCCTAAAGTTTTCGCTATTTTTTCGCTCTTAACTATTTTTATGTGATGTACAAATTCAAATTTTCCGTACATCTTCACTCAGTTGACTGCTAGTTTCTAACAGCTCAGGGGCCATGTAGTTTGGGGTGCCAGCGTTATCAATCGCTACTTCTTTCCCATCCTCGAACCGTTTGAAAATCCCAAAATCACCAAGTTTTAACTCAAAGCCTTCGGTAACGAATATGCTAAAACTTCTTTGTATTCATCTATTCATTTCCTTCTATCCACCCACTTTTCCAGTTTTACATCTCGGTGTGCGATTCGTTTCATTTTCAAAAACCGTAAAGCGGAGAAAATGTTGTGCGCCCATTTGGTGAGAGTTGCCATCGAATAATTCACAGTCGGATCACAAATCACTAAACAGTACACAAAATCACAATCCGCTCATCTCTCACTCACCATTTCTCAGCGATCCCTCACAACAATATTCCTGAAATATCAGAAATGAACTTCCTGCATATTCAAAATCGAGTGGCTGATCGATGAATCGAACGATATTTTCATGAACTAATTCCTTCAGAATTCCCATTTCCGAAGATTGATCAATGAGGTTTTGACTGTAGCCTTTTTTCATCACTATTGGTCTAAATGGAAACTTTGAGTAAAACTCTTCTAACTAATAAGCTACAAGATTTGAGTAAATCACTTACGGTTTATATTCTTTAAGAAGATAAACTTTTCCAAACGATCCTCTCCCGATTACTTCCCATGACGATTTCGTTGAAATCCCAGAATTGAAACTGAAAGAAAATTTAAAAGTATTGGCAGTATTTGTTTTTATAACTCACGGATCATCAACGAGGGAAACCGTCCCAAAAGCGCCATTTTTAGGAGGTATCAATTGACTCATTTAGCAGTGTCAACAAAAAGAAATTGCAAGCGAACTAAATATGAATATATGAATAATGCAAATATGAATATCTTCAAAGCTCTTCAAAGTCAATATCGATTTGCAATCAAAAAATTGGTTCCTCAACTTTATTTGCTTTCTTTTTGTTGGGCCTTTTATTGCTAAATGAAATATCCAAAGGGGGTTTTAGAAGAAAAATCTTTGCCATGGCTAGTGCAATCCGTCTGTTTTATAGCAGGTCAAGAAAAAAAAAAATAAAAATGCGAAAGAAAACTTTTAATATTACATTTTTTTAATCGACTGAATAATTGCGATGCGATATTCCCGGAATCGAAACATGCTGGCTCGACTGGGCTTTTTACTAAAGAATCATCTAAAGAAAAAATGAAAACTACAATAATAATTTATAATAATTTCAAAATTCTACAAATTATGAAGTATTATTAAAATTCAAAGTATTCAAAACTTATCACTTGAAAACTTGAAAATGTCCAACGGCGTTTCACTAAAAAAGCATACACTCGTTGTTTCCCTTCTTCTCTTATTCCAAATTATGAGACTAGACTTATAGTTTTTGATTTAAAACCCCTTTTATATCGCCGTATTTACTTTGAACTTATTTTTTGCTATAAAATTCTTTTCCACCCTAAGTCGCATCCAGAATTTCAAAGCCTCTTGAAAATTGTGGAAATTCTTAGAAATACACGTAGTCATCCTTATCAAATTTCGGTCGGTTCTCATCCCCATCATCTTTCCCTTTATCATTCTTTTGCGAACCGTATTAGTAGGGTTTGGAATAAGTTCCCTTCTTGGACTTGGAATAAGTTCCCTTCTTGGACTTGAAATAAGCTCTCGTCTGGTAACTTCACGTCTGTAGGAAAATTGAAAGTATCTGTAAACGAATTAGGTCTTATTGCCATGTCAAATCTTGCCTATATTTAATCTTTTTGGAACTGTGTTTCCTAACTGTAGTCTTACTGTACTATTTTTAGTTTTCTTTCTCTTTTGTGAAAGTATTGTAGCAATATGTTATATGCGGTTATGATTATCTGATTCGCTTCTATTCGCCCCTGAATAAAGCATATATATATATATTAAAATGATTGAACCTGAATTCTTTTCAATCTGCTCCATTGTGTAGTCTTTTTTTGCTTCTGGTTGGATTATTGCCTTGCACCAAGAAAAAAAAAGCTAAGCATTTGGGTTTCCAGATATAACTCCGTTCTTAAGAATCTTCTTTCTTAAACGGGTTAAACGTAACATATTCAATGGGTGAGTTGAGCCAGGTACATTTTCCTCGTTTTCTTTAAATAAAATCCAATGTTGCCTAGTTTTCACTTTGTTTAAAGTTTTAGTCTCTCCTTACCAATCAGATAGTGAGAGCTGCCGTTTCCGCTGTAAGCTCAAAAATGGACACAACGTTTGCGTAAATAATACGTTTTTTTACATTTTTTTGGTTTTCTCGGCGACGAATGAATAAAATTCAATTTGGTTTGTTTTCATAGTTGTGTCTATGTAATTTTCCATGTTATGGTAAAGTTTCAGGGATTTTAGTTGAAACTCGCAAGTTGGTGCTACTTTTTATCGCTCAGGTGAGTGGGCGGGACTTCATCATTTTTTTGTCAATACTATTAGAGAGAAAATCCAATAATAAACTCACAAATAGTGTGACGAACGGGGTCTCTTCTTTGACGAAAGCTCGCACGGCTGCCATAAATGGATTGGGAATTACAGTATCTGTGAGAGTTGAACTCGCGTCTAATCAAGCTTACTGTATTAAAAGAAACGCTCCAGATAAATTGAGTTGAAGCCTTTTGCAGACCTTTTGCAGAGTCTAATTTCCTTTTAATCTGAAATTTGTGACGTTGGATTTGTGAAACGCGAAAATCGACGCGAGGCACGATCGAATTGTGTTCACCAGAAGTATAACTCATGATGAGGGTATGGTTTTCCTAGTTTACTTTTGGTGATTGCAATTTTAACAAGAGTTTCTAATTGTCCTAATGTTCTGAAATTCGGGTGGGGCTACATTCAGTCCTCACCCTAGCGCTCCGAAAACATTTGTTACTCAGATATTTCCAGGAATTTGCAAGATCTCCTAAAAATCATGCAAATTTCCGCTACATCTCCCTATTTTTGTGCCATGTTTGCAACTTCCAATGTGATTGAATCAAAAGCTAGCACTGTAGAATTACATGATATAGATGAAGAGGTACGAAAGTTAACACAAGTTGTATATGTACACTACATGTTGCTAGCTTTGGATTTCATTGCTTTTTATTGGTTTCAGGCTCTCGCCAATTGATCGACTTTATTTACACAGGTCAACTCACAATAAATTCAAGTGAGACATTCGTATGTGGTCAAAGCAAATTTGAATTGGTGATAAATTTGCATACGCATTGCTCCAACTGCATACAAAACAAATCATTTTTTATTCGCTTCTACTCGATATTTGGTCTATTATCTGCTTAATTCGTGACGATCAACAAGGGAAAAACGATGAAATTCCTCAAGAAGATCATCCTAAAACCGATTTGCGCTAAATGGGTACGGTAATTAGATATATCTTTGCGTTAAAAGGCTTTAACTTTGCATTGTCGCTTTTAATACAGTAAACTTGGTTAGACTTGAGTTCAACTCTCAAAAATATTTCAAGTCCCAGTTTCCCATCTACCGTTTAGCATACAGTAGATGGGATAAGAGACTGAGTGCTTTACAATAAGTTAAAGCTTTTCTACAGTAAGATAAAATCTGGAGTCTATAGAGACTACGATATCTTAGCTTTGCAATGAGAATTTGCAGAATAAACTGAAAAGTGCCATCTCGGCTCCATCTCGTCCCACCGATTTGGTCGACAGGAGCTCTTCTCTCCAAGAATCGTTCAACAAGAACCCCAAACCAAATCGGGAATCTAATGGTATTCATTTGATTTTTAGAACTTTGAAATTGGAGTTTATTTAGAGTATTCGTCTTTTAGCTTTGATCCCATCTCTGGCCCAAGTCACAGCCAATCAGGTGCGGGGTTTTTAAATCAACAACTTTTCAATTTCACGTTTAGATTCTAAATTGTCCTGTTTTAGATCCAATTACCTACTCGAGCTTCAACGAGACGGCAGAAATCAATGATTCGGTTTTGACCGTACCTGAGCTCGAAACCTCGTACCAGATTAGTCAACTCGGCGAAATCGTCGATTACACGCAGAAGTGGGTCCAGTTCAAAGACATTTTCACATGCTCTTTTCAGTTCAAATCCGTCTTTACCACCATTTGTGGCAGCCGCGCGAGCTTTCGTCGAAAAAGAGACCCCGTTTGTCACGCCATTCGTGGGTTTATTATTAGATTTGTATATAGTAGATTAGGTGTAGTAAAACCGATAAGCATTCTAAAATTTGAAAAACGATAATGATGTATCATTTTAGTTGATGCCACGAAAACGGCGACCTTTGGTGGCTGGGAGACGGCTTCGCAGTCGAATCACGAAGGCGGCAAAGAATTGGAACAAGGCTGTCGATCAATTTCAGCGCCGGAATCCCACCACCGAGCACAGTATTGTGGGTTTTTTAAGCTCAGAACAATAAGACTTAAGTTGTAGACTTAATACCAAACTTGTTACTTTTAGGTACGTGTCACCAGGAATAGTCAGAAGACCTAAGCATGAGGAAAAAGGGCTCGAAAAATATTGAACTCTTTTGCATTTGTGTGAATAAACTTTTTGAACTTTTTACCTATGTGTATAATTTTCAAATATACTGTCGAATCGGCAACCAAATCAGAAAGATACAATGGTGGGAGTGGGACAAATGCGACCTTTCTTTTTTAACGTTTTAAAAAAGCTCTAAAAATATTAACCTAATATTAACCAATTTTTATTCCTAAACTTGTTTTTCTGGGTAATTTTAGGGTGTAAAATCCAAATTTTGACATATCAGAGCTTGTGGAAGCAAACGGACGGAGTTATACATAGGGAAAAATCGACTACTTTCTGTAATTTGACCTATGCGTTTTATCTTTCAAATTGCTTCCACAAGCTCTGATACAGTACTGAACAATGAAATATCATATTTGAAAAACGATCGTCACTTTCGCGCGTCTGTAACTCCCTTGTCTTTGAGTTTAAACTATTAGTGTTATACATTTTCTGAAAGCTCTTTTCACACAATGATAATACTAATATTTAGAAATACGGTATTTTTAACGCATTTCAGCGCGCATAAGATGGGATACCCAAAATTTTTGATTTTCAAAGCTGTTTTTCTTTATGATAGAGTGCTGGAATCGCTCTGAAACTACGATTTTCTACGCAATCTACGCAAAAAACTACGCAAAAAAATCTACGCAAAAATTTACCTCATAATTAATATTTGTAAAATTTTTTCAAAGTTTCATAGCAAAAAAAAACCACATTTGCGAAATTCTC